ATATGTCTTTGAGCAAAACATTAAACATCCACTAATCCTCAGTTTACTGTAACATAAGAAAAAATAGGATCTACCTCATAGCATTGCTTCTGTGAATACGTGGCATATTATATGTATTTTATAGTTCTGACAAAATAAACACTACATTAAAATATCATATCATATATATCATATCATATCTATTCTTGTGGTCAGTCATATGCCTCTTATTTATGGATAATCTTGAGCCCCTTCATTAGAGCACAGGGAAATCTCTTATATTTTCCATATATATAAATTTCAAAAAGACCACCTTTAAAATGTAACTTTAAACAAGATGCTGACATTTTGGGGCACCTGGGTGGCTCAGTGGGTTAAGCCTCTGCCTTTGGCTCAGGTCACGATCTCAGCGTCCTGGGATCAAGCCCCGCATTGGGCTCTCTGCTCAGCAGGGAGTCTGCTATCCTCTCTTTCTGCCTGCCTCTCTGCCTATTTGTGATCGCTCTCTGTCAAATAAATAAATAAAATCTTAAAAAAAAAAAAAAGATGCTGACGTTTTAATTTGGTTGAACATAGTCTAATCCCATGCTATGTATTCAATTCTATTTCTTCTTCGATCTCTGTTACCTATTTTATTGGTAAATGGCAAACATAGTGTCAACACAAATTAGGCTATAAGTAAGGGCATTCTGTGTTGAGCTACCGCAGGAAACCCAGAGTTTATGAGAGACTTTAGGGCAGTTATGCTGCATCTGGGTGGTTAAAATCCCTCCTGGGAGAAGCCATTCCACTCCCGATGAGTCAGTGAACACTTCAGAAACATTGAGAACTGTCTGCTATGCTTGGAGAAGCCTTAGGAAAGATTAACTTACATTACTGGTCTAACACCTGCTTCTAGCCAGTAATTTCCCCAGCTCAGTCCATCTTTATATGTTTGTTGTGATAATACTTTAGCCATAAATTTCTAGCTGGAAAATATCTACAGGGTCCCTTCTAATGTAATGTACTCTGATACAACCAGTATATAATGCAGCATATTTAACGTAATGGCTATATCCAGAAGGACACGTCATTGCCCTTGTTTATCCCCTGGTGACATGAACAGAGGCAACTCACTTCAATTCATGAGCCCTTGATTTTTCAGATGGGAAATAAAGTGTGCCTGATTGATTATGTCAAAATTCCACTCAACGTTAATAGTCCATGGATCGCTAAATCTGATGCTAGAGTCTACAGAGTTTAGTTTTTATGGAAGTCGTTGTAAGAAAAGTGAATGGATTTTTTAAAAAGGTATGTTCTCTAGGAATGGGCAATTCAACTTAGAGAAATTTCTCATAAGGAAATAATCTGTGCTTATCTACGAAGATATTTAACTACATGGTTATAAATAAATGTAACTGCAATATTTACTATAATAATTAAAAATTAGATAAAGTTTTACTGACAGCCAATAAAAATAATTACAATTTGTTCATTTATAGAATATCACAGTCATTTAAAACGTCATAAAAGAACAGTTAATGGGGTGCCTGGGTGGCTCAGTTGGTTAAGGGTCTGCCTTTGGCTCAGGTCATGATCTCAGGGTCCTGGGATCGAGCCCCATGTCAGGCTCCCTGGTCGGTGGGAAGTCTGCTTCTCCCTCTCCCTTTGTCCCTTCCCCTGCTCCTGCTCTTCCTCTGTCAAATAAGTAAAATCTTAAAAAAATAAAATAAATTATTTAAAAAAGAATAGTTAACCTAGGGAAATGGTCACAGGTGAAAACAAGCAGGTAACCAGTGATTAAATATACACTTTTTAATAATTTTATAAAAATATGTATATTTATAAAAATCTATATTATATAAAAATCTATCATACTTGTTTATTTACATATAAATATCAACCCAAATAAGTAATCCCATAAATGGTGGGATTACCTGTGATTTTTATTTTCATATTTAACTTACACTGGATTTTCTGGATTTTTTATGATGAACTGGTACTGTTTGGGAAACTCGGAAAAAAAAAATCTTTTCATAGTGGAAATGGAGACATTTTTCTCTTTGATTTCTGAAAGGCATCTCAGAAGTATTTTCTCTGCCCATCTCAGGTTCTCCTTTATTCCATGATAGGTACTTTCTGGACTCATATTTTCAATTAGGATGTCTCGGAGAACATCAGACACATTCTCATAGGCCTCTTCTCCTCTGTAACAGCCCCAGCTGAGAGTTCTGCATCTCCCCTGCCCATACTTTGCCCATACCCTCGGGGCCCTGTCTCCCTCCACTCCACCGAGAATCCTTGCTCCCACTGGGCCTTTGAAATTCTGATCCTTTCCCTCTTGGCATTTCTGATCTCTCTCTTTCTCTCTCCCCCACCTTCCTTCCCATCTCTCCTCCCTCCCTCCACCCCCAAAGTCATGTTGCCATTGGTTTCTCCTAGAGCACTTACACTTTCTTCTCTGTATTGATCAGGAGACAGCGTGCAGGATTAAAGGTCAGTAAAGCGTGTGAGAACTAGCGGATGGATATTCCAACCGTACCGGGCAAGGGTTTCTCACTCCAGCCCATTTCTCCCCAGTGGGAATGTTGATCGAATGTTGCCAGCCCTTCCAATATGTCAAGAAAAGCAAGAAATCCCTATCTTTTTATATGTAAAACCTCTAGTTTTAAAGTATGAGCTCACTAAAGCAAAACAAATGAAAACACTCTGCGAAGAAAGAAAAATCTATCAGCAAGCTGGATCTCAGCAGCAAGGCCAAGTTTGCAACCTTTCCTGAGGCTGACATCTTTTACATCTCTGCACCCCTCATCACCTGGCGCAGAGCTGTGCTCCTACTGATTCGCACTTAGGCACTCAGCTGTGTCCGTTCTCTAGCGGATGAGTCCATGATGACAGGATCCGCGTCCAAGGTCCCCCGTCCACCTTTTACTGTTTCTAAATTGTTTAGATGCCGGGCTGCTTGCGGCACAGCCTTCCAAAGGTAACATGGAAGAAAATTCTCTGTGACCTAAAACGGGAAGTTGTCTTTTTTTTCTCCCCCTGTACTTTGTACTAACCCAAGAGCACTGTCAGCACTCAATAAATAATAAATGACAGTCGTTTAATTACAGCTTTTATGCATCCAGTCATGTTTTATTGACTTGGTATTTGAAGCAAAATTTTCTAGCACTTAGGAAGAGAGCAGTAAGGGATAAAAGGCAAGCATAAGCCAAGCAGGGGCCTCAGAAAGAAATGGCAATTCTTATGTCTACCTCGGAAGAGCTGAATCAGACAAGGAAAATAGAAATGAAACCCGGCCAGCTGAATACCTCATGGCGGGGAAGGGGAAACCATAGCATTACCTCACTGGCGCTCACCAAAGAGCATTATCTAACCACTTTTGGCGCGTCCCACAGGACCTTTCAGGGAGGATGTCAGAGATGACCTAATCAAAGGTAGGATCTCAAAGTCAGATGGCCAGGCTGAGGGTCCAGCCTGGTGTCTTGAAAACAGTCCTGAGCACAGGACTTGTCCGGAGACTAAGAGGGTATGGGGTTGGAGAGAGGTTGGCATGGGGCTGGGGCGAGGTCGGCACTAAAGGATAGCTCTTCCTTAGCGAGGAGAGAAACATCATTGGCTTGACATTACTGAACCAGGATGGACTCCATGGGCACACCCCTGGAAGCAGGCAGAATTCTGCCAACAGATGGTGTTGCCTGAATGGCGCTAGAATGTAGAGGCTTATAGAAGCAGACAGTCAACGGATAATGCCCACCGAGTGACAAGCACTGTTCTAGGCATAGAGGTCAAGGCTTCTGTTTTCATAGGGCTTTCATTCTAACAGAGGGAGAAGGATTATAAGCTGGCTTTTAAAAGGAAATGTCAGAGTTACACATCGTATGAAGAAAATCAAGCAGGACGTTGAAGTAGAGAATCTGGTAGGCTACATTAGATGGGAAGGTTGGAGAAGAGCTCAAAGATGGTGACATATTAGTGGAGACCTTAACGACGAGAAGGCATCAGCTAAGCCCAATTGTAGGAATCTGCAACCCTATAGGGGAAAACAGCTAGAGCCAATGCAAGGGTCATCTTGTGTTTGAGGTAAGAAAGAATTCCAACATTTAGGCACTTTACGAAACAAGAACAGTAGTAGAAGAAGAGCTCAGAAAGAAAGAAAAGAGGAAACAAACAAACAAAGAGATCCTCTAAGACATCAAAGGCCTTAAAAAGAGATTTGGGATTCATTCTAAGTACTTATAAGCCACTGGAGGATTTTAAGCACATGATTACAGTCAACACTTCAGGTGTTGATGACTGTTAAGAGTTGCAAAAGAGGGACCATGGTCACCTGGCAATGTGGGAAATTGCAGAGTGATGTGTGCTCTGTTGCCTCCCTGAACTTTATGGGGGTCGCAGGTGGGGGAGGGTAGTGGGACTTGCACGCTGAGGGTGAACTGGGAATGGAGTCAACATCAGTGGGGTTCAGAGAAACCTGGGTTCTTGCTATGGTGCTGGAAGGACGTCAACTTGCCGAAATTCAGGTCCACCACTTCCAGACACCTATCAACACCCTGGGACCACCTCGGAACCTGGACAGCTCCCTACTTGTGTCTCTGCTGAGCTCTTATTGGCCTGGGAGCTTTACGCAACAAGCACCATATTTATTGGATCCATTTATCACCCACTGCACTGCACAGTAACTGTCTAGGAGTCTGTTCAGTAGAATTCAAAGTTGATATTACCCATTTTGCCTGGCTTCTAGAAATGTCAGCAGACTTCATGGGGAGGGGGCTGGCTATGGGTCCCAGACTGAGTTCACCATGTTCTTGCATAGGTTGAGGTTCACTGCTTTAGCCATCCTGTGCTCACTTAACTAGAATATCATAAACCATGATGCTCCCGTCTGACACCCTTCTGAATTAAAACTATACCCACGGGTCTTCACATCCTAATATCTAACACATGGTCCCACCTCCTAAATTCTTCTTCTGGCATAGCGTGTGCAAATGATAAACCACAAAGGAATAATCAGACAAGAGAAAAATGAACATCATACTTACATATCCATATTCCAAATCCCAGCACCAGCAATAATTGCAAAACCTCACAAAACATGCCCGGAGAAAGTCCCCAATGAGGATCGTGACGTAAGTGGTCAGAACATCAGAAACAGTCAGCCGCACAAATTCCTGTCAAGATATTATCCAGATTAAAAAAGGGGATCTCTCCATTCAAACGGCCCTAGTGTTGGCCTCAAGTTCGTTATGCTTCTGCATAGTATTAGCTTAGAAACTGCCATTAATAATAAGAAAATAGTGAGGCAGAGCTAGCAAGTGACCAATATTTCACCGTTATTTTATTAGTCTAAAAGTAATTACCCCACTTCCAGGGCACCTGGGTGGCTCAGTGGGTTAAGCCTCTGCCTTTGGCTCAGGTCATGATCTCAGGGTCCTGGGATAGAGCCCCGCATTGGGCTCTCTGCTCAGCAGGGAGCCTGCTTCCCCCCGCCCCCCAACGCCTGCCTCTCTGCCTACTTGTGCTCTCTCTGTCAAATAAAAATAAATAAATAAATAAATAAATAAATAAATAAAAGTAATTACCCCACTTCCAAAACCACTGTATCAAAAGTCTTCTCACTGAGAAACATTTATAAGCATGGCATAAGAAATAAAACCAGGAATATACTGACCACACGTAAGTTTATAACTTTGATCCGGCAAACAGCAATGTTTATGCAGTTAAAAGATGACCTTTGAAAAGTACTGGCAGCATCTGTGATACAGGATTAGTTTTTCTAACATGTTAAAAATGTTTATAAACCAGCCTGACAATAGATGGGCAATGCAATAAGGAAAGAAGTTGGCAAATGGCAAATAAGAAATTTACGGAAGGAAATATGCTGTCAATCAAATGTTGAAAAACACTGAAACCCCTCACACAAAAGTGCAAATTAAAACAATGAGTTGTTGACTCACAGAAAGATGAATCTTTAAAAATCCAGGCTTCTCCTTATTGGTGAGTACGGTGAATGTCGACCCCTGACAATATTTGGGGGGAAATTTGTGGAAATCCATCACATTTTAAAGAAGGTCGAATATGAAGGAAATTCACTTGTAGAAAGATGTCCCACAGCAATATTCACACAAGTGCACAGATCTATACATGTGATTATGAAAGTAGGGCTTTTTCCAGATAAAAATTGGAAACAATTCAAATATACTTAGGAGATTTATGAAATAGAAGGGCATGTCCACACAATGGACCACACAAGATCTTGTCCACACAAGATCTCACTATTGTGAGATCTTGAAAGAAAAAGAGTGTACTTATGGTTAGAGATGCACAACTGTGTGAACATACACTAGAAACCATTGAATTGTATAATTTTAAATGGGTGGAATGTGTGGTATATGAATACCTCAGTAAACTTTAAAAAGTTCTAGAACACTATGCTCTGATAAGAAATGGATCTTTAAAAATTTACAAAATAGGTATGAAAAATGTGGTATGAACTCATTCGTTAACAAAAATTCCTATGTGTATATACATGTATGTATACATATAGGCATAGAAAGTTCTGGAAAATTAGAAACTGGTTACCTCAGTGGTGTGGACTTAAATTTATGTGCAAAAGGGTATGTGCTGTGGCTTAGAGGGAAAGCTCACTATTTCCTCATGGAACCCTTACAACAATCAGTGATAAACATAAGAATAGACACATAATTATAAATGTTCGTTATGATAGTTCTCCTCTGCTCTTCCTTTTCTTTTCCTTCTCAATAATTTATGTCCTAAGACTGAAGATACTGAACATCTAGTAATACGAATTTTTCCAGAAATACTAGTGTTCTTCTATAATTTCTAAAGTCTTTTGGTTTCTACTTCCAGCTACCTACATAATCTCCCCTCTAAAATAACTAGTGAGAAAGAATTTTCTCATGGGGCAAAGGGCCATTTGACTAGCTATCACTAGATTAGTTTTCAGCCTCATACTTCGGAGCAATACTTCCTGAACGCCAGATCGTCTACCACTTCCATGATTCTTAATACATCCAAGTACCATATGAAATATAATGTATCTCAGATTTCTTTTAACTTTAACATACTTTATTCTTTAAAAAATTGCTGCTGCTATTATAAATATAACCTGCTATAAATAGCAGTTAACTAAAACATACATATAACCCAAACAAAAATTATTATAGTAAAACCTTAAAAATATAAATTTAAAAATTTAGCATTAGTTTTCACCAACCACTGTGCCTGTGGGAGGGCTTGTAGGCTGGCAGTATATTTTGGGAAGGGGTGTCAAAGAAGGGAAGTGTTTCATTCAGGGAAGAATGAAACAGAAGGAAGGAAAGCTTTTGCCTGAGAGCATGCTAAAAGCTGCCACTCCTGGGGCAAGTGAGTCTTATCCTTCTGAGGACCCACCTGGAAGTCTAGAAGCTATATAGAGTAAACCTCAGAATTGTCCATGCCAGTGACAGAAGGAGGACATACCAATCACCAGCAACCACTCCCATTAGTCAAGGATGTCCCCATGTGGTAATAACACCTCACTTGATGACAGCAGAGGAACTCTGAAGGTGGAGAGAATAAGCATACAGCTGTTGAGATGCTGTCAGGTTAATAGCTATGTGCAAAACAGCTGGAGTAAGAGGTGGGCCAAGAGAGTGCGAGGTTTCTGCATAATCTGGAAGTTTCTGTATAACCTGGTTCCCATCTAGCTCCCCATAGTCTTCTGGTATTTCTCATCCTTCTTCATTCCAGCTCCCTGGCTTTCATTCAGACCCTCAATCTCCATACTTCCTCAGGCCACAGGGCCTTTGCATGGGTCTTCACACCACACAATCATTGTTACTTCACCTCTTGGCTCGGTTTATACCAAAGAACACACACCACTAAAGCATCACTGATTCAGGAAGGTTTCACTCACCTCACTGACAAGGGTGAGTCTCCCTATAAAAAATACTCAGATTCCATGCATTTCATTCTTACAGTGCTTGGTTAGCATTGTAAATTTGTAAATTTTGCATAATGACTTAATTAACGACTTTGTTTACCCCCAGAAATTGTAGTTTTCACAAAAGCAAGAAACTAGCCCACCTTGGGGCCCATTGGACCTCTAGCAGTCAACATGATGCCTGCCACTCAGTTTACACTCAATAAATATGGAACGAATGGTTGAATGATAGTAAATTCCTGCAGGTATTTCGGGCCATAACTTTTTTCTTCCGTTCTTATTCTCTTTTTCATTCCCAGGCAACTTGAGTTCAGATTCTAATAACTAGTATCAATTAGAGGTAGGCAATGAGGGATATTTTTTGGCTTCCATCACCATGTCAGAAGGCCTTCCTCAGGTAAGAGAAAATTCCACAGTGGTTATAAAGTCGCCCACGTCTTCCTAAACATCCTCATCCCAATGTTTAAAATCCTATTTTTTCCTAAGCAGTGGTCTGTCATATAAAATACCAGAAGAGGATTGAAACATTATATGGAAATGTAAGATTTATTCACAAACCACAGGAACACCACAATGCTTCCTAAGAAAGAAAATCCCCAAAACAATGGCCCAGCCCACCTGAGGAGCACCAGCTGCAGGTCCCAGCATGCTAGTCAGGATGGGAGCACAGTTTCCATAGGCCCCCTGCTGAGCACCACACCCCACACCTCGCAGCTTTCCACCGTTAGTTAAAATGCCTGCGCAGCTTTGATCAGCAAACATAAGAGTCATTAGCAGGTAACAGGAAAGGGGCATCACGGAGGACCACAGACTCTAGACATCCCATGGCAGGAGTTTAGAGAGTATGTGTTGATGCTCATTATGTTTCTAGGGACAATTAGCACTGTAGACAAAGATGTATAAACTCTCATCAGACCCTGTGGGTTAAACCTGGGCTCCTGTCATTCACTTCCTTTAAGAGCTTGAGCAAATTATTGTAGCTTTTCAGGTCATGGCCTCCTCATCTATAAGACAGAGATAGAAATATAACTTAAAGGGTAATTTAGAAATTCAAGGAAACAGCACTGGGCACATTATGGGCATTCAATAAATGTTAGCCACTGCTGTTCGTTCAGTTGTTGGCGGCTTTCTCCTTCCCCAAAATGCAGACCACAGTATATAGCTTTAAATAGCAATCTCCCATCGGTGTTTGCTACCTACCTATCAAATGCCATTGCAGGTGGACCTAAGTGAGATTCCTTGGAGGGATAAAGGAGCCACCAAATTATCTTATACTCAGACTCAAATAGAGGTTTGAGTCCTATATCATCCTTGAAGAAACAAAGTAGAGGGCATCCATGGAGGAGAAGAGGAAAATTCTGGAATGTTTTTATAGAACAATGAGTGTTTGGGGTGTATCCCCAACCTGACATGCACAGCAGATATCTTTACTGTTTCTTCTGGAGTCACCTTTTTTTTTTTTTTTAAGATTTTATATATTTATTTTATTTTAGAAAGAGAGAGAGAGCAGGGGCGCATGAGCTGGAGGATGGGCCAAGGAGAGAGAGAGAGAGAATCTCAATCATGCAGAGCCATCGTGGGTACAGAGCCTGACTCAGGGCTTGACCTCACCAGCCTGAGACCATGACTGGAGCTAAAATCAAGAGTCGGACCCTTAAACAACAGAGACACCCCTGGAGTCACTTCTTAATGGTTAAACAAAATGTTTCTAGTTGCATGGATATTGACATTGATCTCTTAAAAACCAAACTCTCCAGCTCTCAGTGTTTTTATGTCCCCTGGTTCTCTCATCCCCAGAGACTCTACGTCCCTCATCAACATTCTGTTCAGAACCACTACCTCTGGTCCAGCCCCCACAGACTTTCCCACAAGTTTTGTATGCCCCTTAGGGAAATGAAGGTGAAAGAGAAGGGGACAGTAAGGTTAGATGATGAAGCAAAAAAAGCACCAAAGATGGGATTTTTTTTTTTTTTAAGGACAAGACAAGCAGCAAAGTCCCAAGGAGAATTAAATAAGTGACTTTGCTTTTTAAGTCAATATGTGTGGGGCCAACCCAGAAACTTCTGCATAATCGGAGGCGTAAGTATCCTCCTCCATTGCACTGGCATTCCTATCTAATTGATCACTTTCTCTTCCCTCAATCTTCTCCTTGACAGTCCGTTCTAGTAAGACTGTTAAAGGGGAGCTTGCATAGCCCCTTTATGCATTCTAGGACATAAAGAAGAGAACATCTCAAATGTTTTGAGTTTGTGAAAAAAAACCTCTTCCCCCTGATTTTTCATTTCTTTCCATTTTAGCTGAGGACTCACAAAGCAGCCTAGATGTGCTAGGACTTATATGAAGCACTTTCAAAGAAGGACCCTTGAAATTCAGAAACCTATATACTTCTGTGCATTCCCTTCTTGTTGCTGCTGTCACAATCCACCACACGCTTTGGGGCTTAAGACAACATGAATTTATTCTCTTGCAGTCCTGGAGGTCAGAGATCTAAAATCAAGGTGTAGGCATCAGAGAGGAAGCTGGGTCCCCACCTTGTCCAGCTTCTGGAGCCTGCTGGCATCCCTGGGCTCACAGCCCCTCTTTGTCCATCTATAAAGCGCATCTCTCCAACCTGGTTCCACTGTCATGTCTAGTTTTTCTGACTTTGACTCTTTTGTCCCTACTTGTGATCTCACTAGGTCCATCCACATAATCCAGGATAGCTTTCCTTCATTTAGTCCCATCGGCAAAGCCGGTATTACCATGAAAGGTAACATCATCAGATGGATTCCAGGGACTGGTACATGGACATCTTTGAACGGCCATTACCCCACCTACCATACCTGTCTCCTAAGTAAAGGCAGCCTACATTTCATTTATAATTTCAGATATAATACACTTTATAAACATGTATGAATGTGCATGCCTGAAAATGGAGTATTTAGTTATATGTAATTGGAAAGGGAAATGTTTATCTGGCCCCTGAAAGCATAAAAATAAAGTAAAATAAAATCCTTAGTCATACCATACTGTTTGGACGTGTGTATAGCATCACATACATTGTTCTCATTTTTTTCCCCACAATTAAAATCACAGTTGATTGGCTTAAGTCTGATGAGCATCTAATAAGAGCATGAGGGCATCTAATGATATTCTCATTTGTTTAAATTGCATCCATTTTATAAGACTAACACTAACTTTCCGTTTTTCCTTTTAGATTACAAAGAAGAAGTACACAGCAAAAAATTATTCAAATAATTCCACGAGACCACATTACTGCTGAGACTGGACTGTTGTCCCACAGGCAGGTAGATGCACAATGACATATTTAAAAGTATCTGGTCCTCCTTGAGGATCCCAAGTCCAAAACCAGTTTACGAAATGCACGGTTGGCAACGTCAATTCTATTAAGATTGAATTAAAGACTTTTCAAAATAACAATTGGATCTGTATAGAAATAAGAGATGTGGAATAGTTTATTGGTGTTTTCTTAATTTGGTTTCCCTTATTGGTCTGAAAGCCATATGAAACATTCTCTCCTTTCTCTGGTCAAATACCAGCAGTCTTGGACTGGGGCCATTTACATAAACATGAAAACAACTCACCTAAAATAGTATTTCCTTTAACACTTAAGGGACAATTATTTGAGAAAAATGGACATTGCTGAAATTAGTATTCATGTGTGCTCCCGAAGGAACATTCTTTTAGTGGGAAACTGGAAATAATAGGTAAGAGTTCCACTTAAATATTCGCAGGAGCCTGTATCTAAATCTAGGTGCTTTCTTACAACACAAATAGAAGATGAACCTCTCCTCACACCATTTAAAAATATCCTTTCTTTAAACACAGCTTAAAAAAGGTGTAAAAGTAGTACTTCCCTCAATGGCTGGAGTGAGGACTGCATGAGAGACTATACATGAAATTCATAGCCAGCACCATAGTAAGCCCTCAATACATCTTTGGTATTTTTTTTTATGAAGCAACAAAAAAAATAGGCCACCTTTGTGAAAGACATAATTGATTCTGCTCTTTCTTCATCCATTTATTGTCATCCACGTCTATTGGTGACATTACCTGCCCCACCATTGTTTCCCAGCAGGGTCCTCGAGGTACATCTGCGGGGTGCACAAAAAAAGGTGGCCCAGTGCTATTTCCGGTGAGGGAGGCATTGTAGGCCTTGATCATGTTGGCTTCCCAGAGGGTAATATTGGCCTTTACCAGCTTCTCCTCTTCAATCTAGGATGCAAAGGGATGGAGGCAATGATGGAGACAGCACAGGTTTCAAAGGCATTTCTAGCAGTCTGGAGACAGGGAACGTAACAACACAGGGATGCAGAAAGCAATCCAGATACGAGACTCACCTTGTTGTTAATCTCATCCATCAAGGCCAGAATAAATACATACAAGTTGCCTAAAAGTAGAGCAAAAATGCGTCCCAGTAGCCATTTCAGAGCGATGAGGGGATGGTAGTCTTCCAATTCAGCAAATAAGTCAAACAGTGTTGGACAGAACATCCCCAGGAGGGACATGACCATGTTCATCTACAGGGAGACACAAGGAATTAACTAAGTTAATTGTATTTAAAAAATAATTGCTTTCTTCCAGGATTTTGCAAGATTTCAGCTACATTCCCTTCATCTTTTATAAGACTAAAGAAGATTATCTCATGCACTTTTAAAATTTGATCTCATTAAAACAACAAAGAAAATATTCAAGTCCCATTCTCAAGGCATGCTTGCGTATGAGCCTGTATATGCGCCAGTAATAACAGTCTGTTTCCTAGTATAATGAGGGAAGAAATTTATATCACCCTATGTCCAGTGAACATATGCTTCTACATGGGAACTGATTCTGATATGGTGATAGACTTTTTTCTTTTTTTAAAAGATTTTTACTTATTTATTTGACAGAGAGATCACAAGTAGGCAGAGAGGCAGGCAGAGAGAGAGGAGGAAGCAGGCTCCCCGCTGAGCTGAGAGCCCAATGCCGGACTCTATCCCAGGACCCTGATGCCATGACCTGAACCGAAGGCAGAGGCTTAACCCACTGAGCACCCAGGCATCCCACAGTCATACACTTTGCAATAAGAGTTCCAGTGGAAAGCAAAAATGATCTTCTTGGGGAATGAGGTCCAAACTGGAAATACTGATTTGACAATTATCAGCATATGGGCTAGTTCAATCAGTTGGAATAAATGAGCTCCCTGAAATGGGCTCAGGACTAAATACTGAAGTCTGGGGAATATACCCTATTAGGGGCAAAAAAAAAAAAAAAAAAAAAAAGGAATGGGTTTATCAAAGAAAACAGGAAAACAGGACATTCAGAGAAACAAAAGGAGAACACAAATCATGACGTTATCAAAGCTGAGGTAGGAAATTTCCAGGAGTGAAGAAATGGTTTAGAATGGCAGTGTGGAGGAGGGGGAGAGAATATGAAAAGTAGTAAATGTATGGTCCATATCTCCTGTCTGGAACCTTCATAATTAAAATATTAGGCTATATTAAATCAGGGAAAAGAATCCAGTTCATGTACTACTTTTGTGATGGGGAAAAAGCCTCCCTGAATGAAAAAAGACTTTGGTTAGCCCTGGCAGGGCCTTTCCTAAACACCTGGTTCAAACTGTCACCATTAAACATTTCCTATTGCCATTTCTTGATTCTGTGTTTTGAACGATTATAACTACCAGATTGTATTGAGAAAATACTGTCAGTATGGTTTCTCCCATTTTTATTAAGAACGTTACGTGAGTATGACCAAGAGAAGATAAAAATCAGCATGACGTAATATAAAATCAGCACGTATAATTTCAGCCTAAGGTAAAAACTTGGCAGATCCTGCGCTATCTTTTATAAGATAAATTTAAATTCTGTTTCATCAAATGTATAAAGTTATTCATGCATCCCCATTACTACCTTTGTTGGCCCTTAGGACTCAGCGTCCCCTTAAATAGGTGTTAAACAGACTCTTACGTAGAATGATCCTTCCACCTAATGAAAAGAAACTATCTACACTTTACTATGGTTCATTTATACAAAAATGTGATCAATATGAACCATGGGACAAAGTAATAGAAGTTATCACAACTGTAAGAAGAAACTTTGACAACAAACTTGATAAATGCTTTGAGGTTCTCCTCTGTTTTAAATAAATAAAATCCCTTTACCTAATGACATTTTATAGGTTTCCATGAAATGTCTGTGCTGTTAGAGCCCCCCATCTCCAGGATTATCATTTCTGAAATACATGGTATGTTTTCGTTTGGAGTCTTTTGTTGTAAATAGGCTATATTTTGTCCAAGATATTTCTAGAAAATTCTATGCTTATAAGGACTTTCTGAATCTTTTTGGTCTACAAGGCTCAGCAGAAGTTTCAGTGTGGGCACTCTACACTTCCCACAGCCTTAATCTATACATACTTTGAAAATGCTCAAGTTTAAAAAGATACCACATGGTATGCCAGGACATTTTATGAAAGGCAACAGGCCCTAGCAACAAGACATAGCGATTTCCTTATTCCCTACATCTGAATTTCCTTATTCTCTACATCTGCTTTCCTTCCTCTGACCTGCTCAATGGGCACATATCCTGAAGACACATCACCATCAGATTTAATTCCAGGCAAAGAGCTGGCCTTCCTCATTTGACTATCTCTTGGAGGGGGAGGAAATAAGGAAGGGGAGGAGAAGGCGGAAAGTGTGCAGTGAGACTGCTAGGGAGAAACAGAGAGAATCCCAGACTTGACGAAAGCGGAGGAGGTAATCTGAATGTTTCCAGTGAGATAAACATAGGAACCAAGGACTCTAACATTGCTGTTTCAAAGAATTAGGGCAACAATTGGATCTTTCAGTGACAGACGCAGAATCTACAGAGAAAGAAACATAGAGTCATGGAAGGAGTGCTGGCTTTGAAATCAAGATTCCTGGGTTTTAACTCACTCTTCCCCATGGTTCCGTGACCTGAACACACCACTCTTCCTCCTGACATTTATTAACCGCATCTGTAAAATATACTGGTTGGAATACATGCGTTCTAGTATCTCTTTCAACTCTAGCTTTCCATAAAATCACAAAATGAGAGACTGACAGTAGAAAGATCTGGAAATAAGCCTGGAATGGAGTGGAAAATGTGTGACTGGACAGTGTGGGGTAGACAGGTAAAGGACGGCCTTATTTAACATTGCACCAGAGAAGCATAACCACACAATTTCAAATGTCAGGTTCTAAGCACATAAAAAGCATGCAGAGACGAACTTCATTCTTTTCCCACCACCCAAGGGTGTCAGGATCTTGCTGTGCAAATTCCTGGGATCGCTTCACAGCCCAAAAGATGAGGTATCCACTCCCGCCAAGTGTTAGAAACACGAAGAAGTTAGCGAGAAACCTCAGGAATCTGATCAAGTGGACGTTTTCTTCTACTTGGGCTGCTCTTTCCTCTATGATTGCTTCCTGTACTCAAGCAAAACAGAAAAACAAAATGTATCTGAGCTACGAAAACTAGCATACACTCAGAAGCTATTTTTGCAAACATCTAATGAGGAATGAAAATGTGCACTCTACCTGGGATTCCACAAACCAGGAGGGTATCAGCAGCAAGTAAGAACGAGTGAGAGAAAGAAGGGAGAATTCTTATAAACTCTGACTGATCTCAGATGAGGACAAACTTCTTTCTAGATTCGTCTGATAGTCTTTTTTTTTTTTTTTCTGAAACTCCAAAATAATACCTAAGGGTCATTTTAAATATTGAGCTCGCTTATTCCTGTAAATAATTAGTAAGCCTTGTTCTATTATTTAGACTATCTGATTTCTGATTATTAATGGTCTCCTGTTTCAAGCCAATGGCAGTATTTTTATTACCAAATTTAGAGAAGAAATCGTGCTGTCGTGTGTCATCAGATATTTTCCAATCACAATCAGAACCCTGACCGGATCCTGGTAGGCAGAAATGATGAGTTAATCTTTCTTTTAATGGTCAGGATACTTTGCTAAGCTAACTGTATGGAATGACTCTGATTTTCATCTTGGAAATCCAAAGGCATGGGTCTTGAAGTTGATGTGTTTACCTTGAAGTTCATGGTGATAGAATTGAATTTGTTGTCTGCAGTTTCCGGATTGCCGATCAGGTAGTCCCAGCTCGTGAACACCTTCCAGCTGAAGTTGAATGTGTTGTCTTCACCGCCCCCGTCATCCCCGATATTTTTGGTCATCCTATAAAAACACAGGGTTTAATCCAGCCCCCTGGATCCACAAAGAAAGGGAAAGGGTAGGGAGTAGCAAAATAGTACAATTACAGGTAGCCTGGAGAAGCAGTATCCTGAAAGCATGTATTTCCAAATGAAATTTGTTCTTAGGACCAGAAAATAAAAGTTGATCTTCAAATTTTGGTTTTAATTCTTTAAACTGTACATTTTCCAGGCCTTTTGGGATTAAAAGACTGTGAAGCATTGATGATTTTAACAATTAAACAGGTCCTACAAAAATGTGTATTTTTAATTTGTTTTCCTCAACTGTTTTTCTTAGCATCATACACTCGGTTCTTAACCTTTTGTGGGATAAGGCTCTCTTTAGAAATCTGACAAAAACCCATGGGTCCCTACCCCAGGAAAAAAAATATGTGTACACCCTTAAACTCCTAGGAAGCTTTAGCTTATTTCCAGATCCCCCTGCAGCTAGGAATGAACTAACCCAGGGCCTGTCAGGAAACTCCTGCATAGACGCAACTCCCACCAAGTATCTCTTCCTAAAGAACAGACTGAATGCATCAAATTTCCCCATACTTTACAACTCTCGAACAAAAATCAAAATTTTTATACAATGTTCATGCCAACTGGTTACATATTTTAATATATATAACTGATTAGAATATGTGTGTGTGTGTATATATATACACACATACTTTTTTTTTTGCTTGGAGAGCTTAAAATGCATTTACTTACAGTTTATTTCAGTGGTTAAAGATCTATATTCCACTCACTCCACTTCCTTTCTTTTCCCCTTATCACTATAAATAGCAAAATTAAAATTTCATATGATACATATTATAAAATGATCCCATAAGGTTTTGGTTTTCTGAGTATTACAGTGCTATGGAACCAAAAAGGAAAGAAGCACCATATAAAGCTGACATGACAGGTTGGCAGGCATCTCTGAGGTGGCTCACATCCCCTACTATTAGCTTCACTCCTTATAGAGGTTTATATATTTTAAATGTGCAAAGTTATGAAAAAATCACCAAAAATAATTATCCCTTACATCAGTCTATCACTTTGCCCTTTGAAATGGTGTCTGTACGTATCACCATGTTTTCCCTTTCTCAACAACTGAACAAAAAGTCAAGGGAGTTAATATTATTCTCTCTTTACAGATGGAGAAGCTAAGGGTTAGCATTATGAAGTGATTTGCTGGACACTTTCCAGGAGTTAACCACAGACGTAGGTCAAGGGCTTAAGCTCTCTGACTTCACTCTGGTGCCCAAGCTAGACCTGCATGAGATATGTTGAATCACATAAAATGCCTCTTTGTAGGTCAAAAGAGGTTGAAATGCAAGATTTCCACGGTTTAATCGAGGGAGAAGATTACTTCATTCATATGCCACCATCCATTTCCGCGCTCTCACTGAGCAAAGGGCAAGATTTCAAGTCAAAGTGGATGCTTGACAGATTGAAGTTTCGAATGGAGCTTCCCTGGCAAAATTGTGTGGCTATAGACAGGATCCCAGATAAGGGAGCATGAGCTGGGCGAGTCCAGAGCACCCGGCATGCAGGAACTGACGAGAAAGAGGGGAATGATCAAAGAAGGAAGGAAAGACAAAGTGCAGGACTGTAGTACACTTCTGTTCGGAGGGAGCCCTGATACCTATTAAATGTTCCATGGACAGCTCTAGCCCTTGCCCACAGAGAGACAAAAATGCACATACCTATGAACATTCTTCTCTTTTCAAGGAGGCTATAGATTTGAACCACTGTGTCTATGAGACGCAACCTCCACGTATCTGTTGCTTCGTTGGGAGGTTGTAGAAAGCAATGGTCGCATTCATGCCTTTGCCTCAACTTCTTGCCTCAGACCCCAAGTTTACATCTCTGTTTACATGCTGGGGTTATTTAGTCATTTTACAGATGCATGTGAAAGTTTTTAATTATTCAAATAAGTGTCTCCATAAATCCTAAGCCAACAGGGTCACTGTAATGTAGCCTCTGCTCAAAAGAAGTCAGGACGAGGAAGGGGATTGCAAGGGAGGTAGGAAGCAACTCTCTAGAAGCTCACAGGATAAGCCTGCTACACAAGGGGGAGAAAATTATAGCAAGGGCTATGCTATACAAAACAGCACATATTATACTCTGGAGAAAGGAGAAACTGCAGCAAATATTTGGCTGCAAAGGCTAACACCTAATACATGAATAACATCTGCATAACATGAGGATGTCATATGTATATTATATTCTATATTGTCCATAACCACTGTTTGCTCCTTAGCTTACAGGCTGTTTCTTCAACTGAGCATCCTGCGGGCAGGGATTTTATTTTGTTCACCACTAAATTCTCGGACACTAGATAGCCCTTGAGATTGCCCACAGTAATTGCCCATAGTAACTGTTCAATAAAGTTATTAAATAAATGAGTAAATATATGAATTCTGATTTTGGAAATCAAGTTAGCGCTTGACTGATGGACTGGCATCAAAACATTTCTCCCAAGACCTCTGTAACATAACTGGCCCCTCCGAATTTAGTTTTGGCAAATCCAAAAGGTTAAAAGAGGAGAAAGAGCATAGACTGGGGAATATGGTAATACTTTACCAGGTAGACAGACAGATACCTTACATTTAGGATCCCGGATTACATTTGGACAGGGAGATGAATACTGCGGATGTGGGGTCTTGAAAACTAAATACGACAGTGTCCTCCAGTGGAACCAGTTTGGCAGAGACAAGGCACGAAGCGTGTCACAGACTATTCCAAAGAGCTCCTGCTTGGGGTAACCTGGACCCTCGGGCAGAGGTCCTTTCCTAGATGAAGCAAAAGGCCAGTTCACCTTGTTCACAGTCCAGTAGAAGGGTCGGGACTCTCTCAAGTCTCTCCAGACTTCTATGCTAGCTCAGAGAACTGGCTCATGGATATGGAGATTAGTCATAGCCCCAGATGCAGGTTTCTGCTGTGTCTTTAAACAGGTTGTTACACGTGCTTTGTCAGTTCTCTGAAGAAATTCTTCCCCACGCTCTAATAAATGTTCTTCCAGACAGACCATGATTCTGCAGTTGATGGTGATGGCCTTGTTGGGGGCCATTCGTTTTCTCTGTTGTACATGGTTGATTTTTTTTTTTTTTTTTTGGTTGAGTGACTACTTTGGTTCTGTTTTGTTTTTTTTTAATGAGCACAGAAATACAGATTCTGCCTACTGAGCTGATTCTGCAACTTGCAAACCTCTCTGCACACAAAGAAAGGGGGGGCAGCAGCTGTTTCCCTGCCTTGTTTGCAACATGGAGTCACACCTTGAAGTTCAAAAAGGTGTGTCTTCAAAATTGGTTTAAACACAAGATAGGAGTGCAACCCAGTGAGATGATCTAAAGGCCTGAGCTTGTGTTCAACCCTTTTGTTTGGGGAATGTCATAGTCTAACATTAGTGTTGGTATTAAAACCACATTTTATCTCTTACAGATTCAGTATCCTCTCGATATAAAATAGGATAAAAATTATATCCCATTCTTAAATTAATACTATTTGATTCCAGAAATCATGGCTCACTTCCCAAGAGGCCCGTGAAACTTACGCTTTAAGGACAACCAGAAAGCTGTAGCCAATGGACATGATCCCCACCAGAAAATAGGAGAGCGGCAGCCTGAAATTCATCCATCCAATTGTTCGCTTATTGTCATAATATCCATAAAAGAGGATGGAGTATTGCGCCAAGCCCTAAAATCCAACAACAAAGCCACTTAGCAGATGTTATAAAGAGCAACTCAAAGAAAAAAGATTAACTTTTAAGAGAAACAACAAAATGGCATTAATTTTCAAACTTGGGAGTTGAGTCCTATTGTTTTTGCTTCGTAGAGCAAATGTTTCAGCTGCCACATTGATTGGCAGCCTCTTGGTTTACTTGAAATTCAGGGACTTCAAAATAGGCCAAATTTTTAACCAAATATAGGCTTGCTCAGCTGTGGAGCCATTACCGTGAAATGCCCATTGAGTGAAACATCAAAACACACTTCATGGTGTCATTAGATTTACAATTTTAAGAGCTTTCTTAACATTCGGGGAGGATCGGAAATGTGTTTCCTCAAAGTGTCATGGCAAGTTTCCACTTCCCGTCACCTGAGCCACAGCTAGATTGCTTCTGCCGGAATCACTGAAGCTGTGTGTCAGCTCACACTCAGCTCACTTTGAGCAAAGGTGAAAAGCAGGTGAGAGGTCAAGGGAACAGATCTGCACAACCTTGTGCGCATCAAGACTATTAGAGCATTCTCCCAGAGCAAGCGAGTTTATTCATGCAATTACATGCTCTTTCCTTAATATTATCTGCCAGGTAATTAGAATTCCCATCTCCCTAGCTATCTGAATAACCCTCTTTACACGGAGAACATTGGCATATTCTGATGCTCTTTCTTCTGCCATGGTCTTCATCTTTCTCTCCTCGAATTCACTGGTTTTCACTCTCAGCTTGGAAGCATGTTTCTGTGTTACTACATTTCCACTGCCACAGCTTCCCTCTGACTTCATCTCTCTGGCGGTAACTTGAAATTACCGTGTTTTGTGAAGTGAGACAATAACAACTTGCCAATGCGAGGCTTCCTCTGGAGGAACCCTTGAATCTTAGAAAGACCAATTGGCTACCTTTAACATCATTTATGCACAGCCAGGGACTTTAAGGCCCACTTAAAGTGGGGAGGCAGGGTGGAAGAAGAAGAGGAGAAAATCCCCCAGATGCTAATTCCCCAAAGGAAGATTTAAGAGCAGCAACTGAGAAAATTGCCTTAAATGGAGATCATGCCTAGCTCAAAACAGAGGCCAAAAAAGATCTGGAATAATTATTGCTTTTGAGATTTGCAGCAAGTTTGTGTTTTAATACTGTGTAAGAATTAGCAGGCAAAATCTCAGAAGAAAGGAAGAAAATCTCAGGAGAGCTCATGGGCTTTGAGTAGGGTCAGGATGGAATGCGTGGGATATAGGTAAAAATGGAAGCGTTTCCCCGCACCACACCTGCCTTTGTCTGCTTTTTTTTTTTTTTTCCAGCTCAAGAAAAAAGAAATCCTACCCAAAAGAATAATCTGGGGCTAAAGAACTAGCAGAAACCTCAGACTGGGGAAGCACATGGGCTAATCTCATGACCCAAAGAAGAAACCACATAGAGAGGGATTGGTCAACTACCCAAGACCCAGAAGTCATCCCAGGAGAATAATCACTGGGAGGATCTCCCTCAAGCAGTTCAATGACATCTTCTTGTTTCACATTCATCTAGTTAAAAACTCTGCTTCCTCTCAGCTATTGTAAATCCAGTCTCCTCCACCCATCCTGAAACTTCAGGCGGGCCTTCCTGTCCCAGAGCAATAATAAGAGAGCCTAGTTAGGATAGGCACTTGCCTCTTGTCCATTTTAAAGATATCCTAAAGTCTTTATTTTTCTTGCCCATGAGGACAACACATAATTTCCCCTGCAAATGACCCTTACTTCATTTCCTTGCTGTTATCCCCATGCTTGATGACAATGCAATAATATCAATTAATACATTTCGTTGAACGTTTAATATTTGCCAAACATGTTCCCTCAGCTCACAGAATCCCTACCAGAACCCTCTGAGGTTGCTCCTGTTAGGGGCAATGGATCTTCCTCCACTCTTGGTGTTGCCTTCCGTGAGGGCAAGACCCATAAATGTAACACTCGCAGCTTCTCCCCACTTTCTCATGCTGTCCCCTCATGCTAATCTGACAGCAGAGCATGGAGGAAGAAATGGGGATGACGCAGGCCACCTCTCTTCTGTATCCTGCGAAAGCACATGCTATGCCCTACCCCTGGAGGGAGCATTCTGTCCTGGGCTGCGGCTGCTGTGTAGGAAGTTCTGGCTGTGAAGCGCACATGCCCACAGAAAGATGCCACATTTTTTCATATCAACTTTAACAATAATACAGACAACATGTCGACCTCCATCTGTCTAAAGCTTTGTCTTATTTCTGATCAGCTCACAACCTGGTTAAACAAGGTAGTGGGTGTTATCTACCATGATTCCCCCACCCAGCAAAGACTCAACAGCCCTATTTCTACTTTGCAGATAAAGAAACTGATCTTTAGAGAGGTTAAGTGCATGCTCACATAGCCAGCAAGTGACAGTCTGAACTTGAACTGGGTCTGTCTGATTCAAATCCATGTTCTTTTTAACTCTACAAGCTCTACTGCTTCTCCTATGCTTTGCTTTTCACCCTTTATATCATGCTAGCACCATTCCTTCCCAGTGAAACAAAGACACAAGAAACCCTCCCAACCCAGTTGGGTCTTTTGACCTACGCCCCTGGATTGATCCATGGTGGTACCAGGACCTCTTGAGAAGGACCTGAACACCCCTTCTGAAGATTCCAAAAGGCCTCACCTCCACATACTTGAACATTACAACCTGATGTCACTTTCTAGTTTATAATGGCAGCACCGGGATTAAGAGACACCTCTAACACAACATGAAAGGAGAAAGTAGATAGACAACAAGCATCTGGTGAACTTATTAGGTTAGCACAATAGCTACTGGGCCAGATGGCTCATCTGGTGTGGGTACCATTCAATGCTTGGCACTTCATAAATATTAGATGGCAACCCAAAGGGATAAGGTTCGTTTTGGGGGGGAATCCTGATGATTTCACAAGGGTTTCTTCAGTTTGCCTACGACTCCATGTGCCATCAAGCACGTAAATAAAAGAGGCACTACTGAGAACACAATTTTAAAAAAGCTTTATCCAATTCATCTTAGTAGCATACTGAAGGGTGACTTGAAACAGCCCTCCCCTTCCACCCCGTGGGCCCCCCACACTCCACACATCTTTCCCTTTCCCTTAAAACTCCAACAGCAGACATCTGGAAGTGACTAAAATAGCAATGACTCCTAGCCTAGCCAAAGTTCTATTCAGTTTCCATGTCAGCGCACACAGCTTTCCCTGTGGGAGCATTCTCCCCCCCCCCCAAAATCTGTGACAGAGAAGCCATAGTCAGAGCCAAGTTTCAAATGAGCATGAAATATTCCCATCCATCCCTGGGTTCCATGCTTGCACATTGTCTATTAAGAGTCTCGTTTCTGTCTAAGTGCTGTAGCTGGTCTTCATTCACAGTCACCAACACGTTTCCCCCAGAAAGAGAATGTTGTGATGATGTTGCTAGGAATCAACTCATGTATTTGTTTGGCTCACTAACTTTTTATTGAGAATTGACTATTTGCCAAACATGATGCGTAGAGGGAGTAAGAGCCCAGATGGTTGAGGCGCCTGCAAAACATCCTCTTCATGACTATCTGTCACCTGAAATTATATTAGAACTCCACCCCTTTGGCATCTCTCATGATGGCAAATAGGTCGTCACTGAGAAACACGACATTCCATCCCCAGGATGGTAAATGAGTTTCAGCACCCTTAGCAACTCTTTTCAGTTTGTAGTAACTGCCAGACGACGGTTTTGGGGCAGGGAGGATCTTGAAGTCAAAACTGGTGGGAGGAAAAGAAGGTGTAATTTCTGGTCATGCCTGCTAAGGGCATATGAAGGGAGGGGGCACTACACCATGGTCTACGTTCCTACCCTTCTCTGTACCATTACCAGTCATTTATATCTTAATGTTAAAGAAAGTTGCAAGTCTAGATGTAAGACAGGACATGACATCACTTAATATCTCATAAAGCAGACAGAAGTTAGGAGTGAGAAGGCTAAAACACCCCCACCACAAACCTCAGCTAACTTCACAAGGACGGCAGCCAGCCCGGCACCTACGTGCACACACTGAGATCCTGCCCGTGGCTGCCTTCTTTCCTTCCACCCAGACTCCCCAAGCTTCCACCTCAGGCTTTGCTCACCTCCCTTTGCCTTTCTTTTTTACTGCAACCCAGATCTGGGAGTGTGAAACTGACACTCTATGGCTCTGAGCTGGGGAGCATGTAGATTACAGAGAGGAAGCTAGGCTGAGTCTTTGCAGAACTTCTGGTTTTCAATACTTGGAATTAACTACCTGTCTACAGGACTCTAGTTCTGAGCTCCCACCCTCAAAAAGCTGTGAAGTAGACAGTTGCTTCTTGTGCCTATCCTTAGATCAGCACCCTCGTCTCTTGGCCGCCTTCCCCGAGAACTCATGTTGTTGGTGCCCTGTTCCCCTTTCTGGCTTGTGGATACCATGCCCTCTCTGCCAGGGCTCCCTCTTCTCTCTTGTCCCTCCAAGAAATGGACATTTTCATGACTTAAGTGCCCATGAATAGGCATTTAAGGAAAGAAATGCTTATTAAACATCTACCACATGCCAGGCATTGTGCAAGTGCTTTACACACACAACTTTATTTACTTTTTAATACCAACCAGCTAGTTAGGTGTTAATACTACTATTTTACACATGACAGTTAGGAAGATCAGAGTGGTTATCTTACCGTCTCACAGGTTAAGCAGCAGGATTCAGACTGAGGTCTGTCTAAATACCATGACGGAGTTCTTCTCATTATGACAACTGCATTTTAAACAGTGTGGGCTTCCATAAAGAGCATTTCCATCTGTCCTTTCTGTGCCATGGTCCACAACTGACACTAATGTTGGGAATTCTAGCTAATATGCCCAAGGCCCGATATATATCTTATTTCACTTGGCTATCCCACAGAAACCCTGAACTCAAGAAGCTCTCCCAAGCCTCCTTCTTCTTCCTCTCTCAGGGCATGACACCAAACCTATCTGTCATCTCAGTCAGTAAC